AACAAAAAATCAGAAAAAAAGAGAAGACACCAATGTTCTGGGCCCTGGCAATATAAAGCAGGATTGTTTACCAGTGGACATGGTAGGTTGGCTTCTTTTTAGCATGCAGAATGCTGGTGAAAGGAGGGGGCGCACGATGACACCTGCAGAGGGCTCGGGAAGGGCAAAGGGAGGGGTTGGAACAGGAACTCAACAAGGACGTCGCCCAAAGGAGCAGCCCGGCACGGTCAGGGAGGACTTCTCAGAGCACGCGGCCTGTGAGCTGGGAAAGTAAACATGGAATAGACATCTCTGACACAGAGACGCGGGGCAGGTCCTAGGGCGTGTGATCCCAGGGAGCACGGAGGGAGGGAGCACGGAGGGCGGGCGCCGTGCCCGGGAAGGGAGTGTGGGATGTTGAGCCATGAGGCGCGGGCACAGCATGGTAGTGGCGGGCACGTCCTGCCGGCAGGCGGAGGGGACCTGGTGACCACGGGCACAGAGCGGCAGCTCGCGAGAGCAGGCTGGGCCCTGCGCCTGGCAGCAGTCTTCCGACGCAAGAACGCACGGAACCGGCGTCTCACATCCATCTGCTGACGGGAGAAGAACGCGTGCCTAGCACAGCACCTGACGCTGGTCTCTAGCAAGAAGCCCGGCGGGACTGGGTGAGACGTCAAGTGGGACACAAAAGGACGGTGCCAATCGGCAGCTGCTGCTCACAGGACAGATGTCTTGTTCCTTCAAAGCACTTGCTCCTCCCCAAAGACTTTGCTCTTTTCCCTCCCTCCCTCCCTCTCTTCCTTCCTTTTCCTGTTTTGTTTTCTGTGTTTTAGGGAAGGGTCTACAAGGTGTTCAGGGTCTCACTACTAGATCGGACTCATAGCAATCCTCCTGTTTACAGCCTCCCAAGAGCTGATTACAGGTGCGCGCCATCACGCCCAGGCTCAGTCGCCATCTCAGTGCACCCCAGGGGTGGGGCTGGAATGGCAGGCCTGGGGATTGAACCCCCGGCCCCTGCGCCTGCTTGCAGGCTCTTTAATCCCCTGAGCTATTTGGCCGGCCTTCCTTTTCTTCTTTCTGCCCTAGAATACACCTTAATCTTTCACCTTCATGAACTGTCCAGACCAGTTCGTTGAACCGCACAGTAAAGACTTGGGAAATATTGGGAGATGCTAGCAAGTAGCGTTGGTCCCTGTTCCTCCTAGTAACAACATTGTCACGTTATGTCTTTGTCAGCGATTCCTAACTCTCAGCTTCCACAGCCCTGCTCTTTCCTGAGTAGAGCAGTAAGAGCGCCTTCATCAAAATATTTGACCGTTTGTCCTCAGCCTCTGATGTAGCCCCAGAAGAGCTTCACATCATTAAGGTAAAAGTTCAGTCTTTTTCCTTTAGAAGTTCTTGCCAACACCCCTGAATGTATGTTATTCTTTCTTTATATATTTCAGCAGTACCAGGAATTGAGCACAAAGCTTATGCACTGAGCTACATCATCAGTGCTTCTATTTTATTATTTATTTATTTTTTGAGACAATATCTTTCTAAGTCTTTAAATTATCCAGGCTGGGGCCAGGGAGATGGCTCAGTGGAATAAGCGCTTCCCTGGCAAGCATAAGGACCTGAGTTCAATCCCTGGTTCCACCAATAAATAAATAAATAAATAAATAAATAAATAAATAAATAAATAAATCAAAGTAATTGGAAAAAAGATCACTTGTCTTGAGCACATAGTGGTCACTTTCTTATTTTTCCTGTTAGGAAGCACCTGTAGAAAACCTGCTAGAGGGGCTGGGGAGATGGCTCAGTAGAATAAGGGCTTCCCTTGCAAGCGCAAGGGTCTAAAGTCAATCCCCAGTTCCAAAAAAAAAAAAAAAAAAAAAAGGGCTGGAGAGATGGCTCAGTGGTCTAAAGCACCTACTTAGAACAAGCTTAGCAAAAGCATCAGGG